CTATATATTCTTAATTGCAAACTAATATAGCTAAATTACATACATCTCATTAGTTTCTGATACTGCTTATAAATTTAAAATAAAGCATTCATGTCATATAATATGACACTCTCAGTAAGTTGATGACTGCTGATAGCCCCCTGCTATTCATCTGATGTGGGTTTGTTTATCAACTTCTAATTTCTCATTTTTAATTTCCTACCACAGACTCACTACGTAATATGAATTTTGTTTCACCACGATAGGGAAACTCTTGATTTCGAAGTAATGTTTTGTTAGTTAGAAATCTCAGTCCCTCAAATGAAGACTTTTTTTAATTAGTGAATAAACATTTTCCTTTAAAATATTCAATTATTGTCCTCACAACCAACAAGCCTAACAAAACTTGAACAGTCATATAGTTTGTAGGAAAATTAAGAAAGATTGTCAACTTAAAATGTCTAACATTATCATTTATATGAAAATAAACCGTAGAAGCGGAATTTTCAAAATAAAAAATAATAAATCTAAATTTTAAAGATGTTTATCACATAAATTTTAATTTTTAAATTTAAAAAATCTAACTTGTTTAATCAAAGTAGATTTATTGTTTAATTTGGTCTCACTCAAATATTTTTGACCATCACTTTGTCTAAGCGCGTATTTTGTGTACGTATACACATACGTTGTACCAACGTAAACACAAATAAAGAATGGTTTGTGGTCTATTAATAAAGATTTTTAAGAAATGTGCTTGTGAGCGCAAACGTGTTGACTGGTTGATAAGTACGGGTTTACTTGTGATGTTGTTTACTGTCAGGTGATTCGTAATCAATATATAATGGGTTTTCAGCAAACAATGTAAATTTTAGTTTATTAGTCGATAGAAACTTTGTACTCTTCTTTTCTAATCTAGACTTAAACGCAAACATCCTCATCAGGTGATTGTGAGAAATGCTATTGCGAAAGTGTTTTACCTCTAAATTAACTCCAATTTAATGTTAAGTGCAGTATGTTATACGTATAAAAAGAAGCTGTTAAATACCATCAGCATTAATTCCCGAATTTCAAAACTTTCCATCCTCAAATAACTAGCTAATGTTACCTTAGTACTAGGTGAACATGCAGAAATAAGTGTAAGTTAAAGGCAGAGTATCAACCATGTTAAAAGAAAACTGAATGATTAATTGTATAACTAGTAATAACTACATCGACATATCATCTGTCGTCTTCAGATATCGGTCTTTCGTCTCAAAAATTAATGATAATAAACTGTTTTTTAATAATAACGCGTACTGACTAAATTCGAAATTAACGTCACTTTACGCTGTCATGCTAAATGATTTATATATGCTTTTTAAATTGTGGGAAACTGCAAATGAAAGTTAATCCAAGAAAATAGATGATAGTTCTCGGATTTGTATTTTAATAAATCATCAAATCATTCGAAAATAATCATGAGTTCTTTATTTTGATAAAAAATTTGAAAATGAGAAACCCTAATTCTAAGATTGTAACGCGCTAATTCTCTTACCTACAAAATTCTTTCGATAAATTAGACTAATCTGTCAATTGAAAATTTTCTGGAAAAAAATGGGTTGATTTTTTTCAAAACGAGATGTTGGTAAAACCCTAAATCCAGTATATATAGTTAGCATAACCAACCAACTTTCAAATAATTTTAAACATATTCTTGTCCATCTAGAAAAAAATACCACTTTGAAATATAGACGAGATAAAATGATATTTTGTGAAATAAATAACTTCTCATATTCGAGGAAGATATAAACACCCGATTGTAGAAACAAGCGAAGTCTATTGTCTAACGAAGTAATTATTATTGAGACGCTGATCGATGTTATTATTGTTATGATTATCATTATTGTAGTTACGATAATCGGTTTCATGTAATGGTTTTGCGTTGATACATAACAACAATATTAACGTGAATAGTGGTGGTGGTGGTGGTGATAGTGGTGGCTTTTGTGTGATTGTAATTATGATTGTAGGAAGTTCATAGTTGTCATGTTGTTTGTTCTCTTCCGGTATGTTTAATTGGACCTTTGTGAATGTACAGTTTATTAAGACGAATATGTAATGAATGCAACGCATTTGTTAATGATTGATTAAAGAAATTGTAAGTCACGAAAGTAAGTGAATGTGTGTTGGGTTAGTGGACAATGTGTACTGTGTGATGGTTGGTGTAATCACATCATTTTTATTTTCATATTATGATAGAAGCTTGTCTATGTATTCGGATTCCGAGAATACATTACAAATTGCAATTGAATACGTTTAATAACCATGACATTCCATTTCGAACCAAGCGGGTGTATTTGTTTAAGTGACCAATTTTCAATCACTAACATTTTCCTTTTGCTTATTGATGTATTTTTTGTCTACGTACGTGGTCCTTGAAAAGTTATGCTTGCTCTTCTGTAAACGTTGCTTGCAAATAATGAACAATATGAAACGTACCGCAGTTTGTTAAAATTTAAATGAACATATAATACGGCAGCCAAACGGATGTTTTAATATTATCTAAATAAGATAGGACTAATCATTCTACATTTTTTATAAGACTTTATCCTGTTGATCATCTTAACCAGTTTTCTTATGTTAACTGACTTTCAGTTTACTGGGTTAACACCACAGATAATTATATTCTTGAAGGTAGACCTTACTTTAGTTTTAACGAAATCATTAAGTTAAACTGGGTTATAAAAACCAATGTACTTATTTGCATATCAGTTCACGCTATGAGATATCTATGTAAAATGACTATAAGTCACTAGAACGTATTCATGCAAGCTCAGTATGATAATGACCATAATCATTTACTTCCACAAAGAATCAATAATATACATTGGTCTCAGAATGACAGTAAAAAAATCGTATTGTTATTATAGTGATTTACACAAATCTATTTCAATAAAGCCATTACAATATATCCTACCTTATATAAGTCAAACCGAAAAGAAAAAGAAAAATGAAGATATACAAAATTTTGAAAATGTAATTTGTTTATTAAGTCAGTCGACTCTAAATATAGGCACACTGTACTCCTAACTCACTTACTTAGAGGACCAGTAATTGATATTTTAATTCAGCTCATATCTGTAACTAAGTTGTCAAATAGTGTATTTTCTTGTGAAAAAGCAGCATGAACTGCTCGAAAATGATAAAATGCACATCATTATTTGCTGTTACACAGTAACCAATGAACTGTGTACATCAATTCATTTGGTTTCATGGTTTTACATTGATAAGTGGTGATTTCTAGCTGTATATATTGTGGGTTTTGTTGTACCGACTGAATTCCTTATGCTGAGTGAACTTTTGAGAAATCAAAAAATCCATGTTCTTTAGAAAATAAAATCAAGTCTGTTTACTGCTGTGTAGCATTGTATTCCTCATTATGTTAGTAAATTACTGCTTATTTTATTCAAACATTAAATAGAATCCAGTTCCATCTTGTTTCGCAATGTCTAACTATGGAATTCAAAAACCATATATCATCTAATTAGGTAATTCATTACACTGAGTCATTAAAGAGGAATAATATATATTTGTAAAATCTCAGGATATTTTCCTTGAAAAAGCTTGGACCAGATTGCCAGGCGAAACGTTGGATTTACTTAAAATTCATTCGCTGAGACTTTACAAATGTATATTATTTCTCTTTAATGACTCACATTAACTCGGCGCCCAAATATTGTGAAACTATTCGTTCAAATTTGGACGAAAGTTCTTATTTATTATTCTGCAATCGCATAAAATTCATTACACTGTTTTGAGATTTTAACCAGACGTCAACAAATGATTTTCAAAATTTCGGTGACTGGGACATAGGAGATAATCATTTGATTATAACTCACATTTTACGGTTTATTAAACTGAGTAATTCAACAGTAGTTGCACTAATTGTTACAACACAGCATTCGCAAATTACAAATAATTAGGCTGTTGAAACGATGACATTTCTGGAGTGTGATTTCATTAGATTCCCTATGAATGCTTGCATTATGAATAATAAGAGTATATTAATGCTGTTACACTGTTTAGGATCAAGGGTTGGGATTGTTAGTACTTTGATCACCAACTAATGGTGTATTGGTAAGCAAATGAGCAAATGCAGCTTTTGTGCTCACACTATCTTCACAGTCTTCTGTAGATAGAAAAGTAAGTTGATTACTCTAGGAAGATTTGCCATTGAACACATCCATGCATTCTCAAGTGTAAATAATGTTAACATATCCACCAAACTTCAAATAGGTAGAAAAAAGTGAAATACTAGCATATTAAGGCACAATTCATTAATTCGTTATTTAAATCTTTCCTCTGTTCATCGTACTTGAATGATTCTCTAACGCCCATCAGTTGAGTGAATAAATCCCCTTAACAGTACTGTCAACGCATTTATCGCACTTATTCTGTTGCCGAAAAAATGACAAATTACTCTTCTCTTTTAATTAAATCATTCAATCTAACGAAAACGTTTTGTGAAATCTAACTGTTAAAGTCACTTTGAGAAAGGAATATCATTGGTACAAGCAGCTCGGAAGAAGCTCTTTGCAACACAATATTTTCAACTTACCGTTCATAGGATGTATATCATGAAGTAACAATTTGACCAAAGCTTATATAAGTTTTGATAGCATAACCTTTCCCATCAACTCAGCCTTTAATATTGCTTAGCGTTATTAATTATGAATGTTAGACGATTGTTTGGTGTTTTTAAAATAGTGTATTCAAGTCTTAAACACTCTAATTTATTTTTAAAAAGTGTATGGTTTAACTCCTGTTCTGTCTTTACGAAACATAATTTGTCTTTAGTCTACTTTCTACCCCGTCAGTAGTTCCACCCAGTCAAAGAGTTACTTAAACTTGTGTAGTTATTATTTGTTTGCTTATTTCTCTAATAATTTTGTATTGTTCACTTGTCTTTGTGTATTGTACCATCATTGCATATATAATTATTCCACTTTCTGTTTGTATTTTTTCTTCTCTCTATTTCAAAGTGCTGAAATGCGCTAACAATCTTGATAACTATTGTCTTGGTGGTAGAGCGACTACACAACCGTGTCTGGAAGAATGCTTGGGTGGATGCGAAACTCGTCCTGGCAATTGTAGAGTGAGTTATATAGTTTTCTTTCCTTTTAGCAAATAAAACAAAAGTTTTACATGTATTCTTACGTAATATGTTTATTTATTTGATATATTTACTGCTGTGATGAACGAGACTGAACGTAAATAATGGAATCTAATGTGATAAGGTGCTATTAGGGCACGGTCTTAAATCGTAATTTACTAGAACACTATCAGAATATATTAACGTGAGGACAGAAGCCCAAGAGTGGGCTGAAGGAAATGCTCCAATAATTTCGATGTTACCGTTAAGGTAAGTGATTTAATATGCTGGCGAACAGTTTAAATTGTTTTATTTGTGAAACTGCTCAATAAGACTCTGAAATAGGGTTTCAACCTTGTTACCTTTAATCGATTGATAGTTCTGCAGATTGGTGACTAGTTATGTAAGTTTACTGATTTTTAGGTGCATCATGCGGATCTGTCTTCGCTCCTCATGTGAATTTACTGAAATCATAGCGTCAAAGTGTTCTCTTTTAAGGCAATCTTCTATCTCAATATTTCCTTGTACTTTACCGTTTAGAGTCTATAGAATAATGATGAAACCCCTGAGCAATGTAGAGTCAAAATGGTGTGTAACTGTTATACATAGGCTGGATGATCAATTATATGATTAATACAGTATCTCAAAAGATTGTTGTCTTAGATTCTGATGTGTGAAGACATGAATACGATATTCCACTGATATGAGGAATGCTGACAGTACCAGTTATATGAGAACATTTGAGGATAAACGTACATTTTTCTCTCCCTTCGTCTTTTATCTAAAAAGATATAGACGATGAAAAGTCTTCAAAAGTAATTTTATAAAGAATCAAGATTTAAATTTTACATTTTGACTCATTTGTCGATTCACTTGTACACAGGTCACCGTGATATACTAGTCTTCATCCATCCACGTTTCAAATCTTAGTTTAATGGTTAATTGGATGGAGATATGAATAAACAGGATGAAAAAACAAAAGTTTTTATATTTCATTCTATCTGTGGAATCACATATTAAACTCTAAACGTTTTAAAATATTCAGAAAATGAGCTGGTACTCTGAAATGCGATTTATCAAACCAGTGGTTTATATATTTCGTTTTTAACAAACCTATATTGCTAAGTAACTGTAACGGGTAGAATAGATAAATTATCTTTTAGCAATATGATCATAAGTATTTCAGGCATATCTGTTGGGGACGACATATCCCCAAAACTCATATTTTGTAATTTTGTCATATCGATTAAATGTTTAAATATTTGAATGGCAGTCAGTTGATGAACTTATCGTTTAAATTTTTAAATAGCAGACAATTGATGACTCATTAATTATTGTTTAAAAATTTCCTATGACAAAATCGATATATATTTGTATAAATACGCTTGACTTGTATGCTTGATCTGATCTGCCTGCCTGACTTGGTATCTGCTGTTGCTTGTAGAATACACTTTCTACGCCTTACCAAGACTTCTTGATCGAGTTAGCTGAGTCGAAGACAACGGACCAGAATAGTCTATTGAGTCTCGGAATCCTGAGCCTTCGTTCCGTTCCGAATAAGTCGAATCAGTAGTATCCTCAAGGTTAACCGAACCTAACAATATCCAAGTGATTCGGGTCACACGCCTTGTGATGAAAGCATTTAATAAAACGAGGTATAACTCGTTTTCACGCATTGATTATGAAATTCGTACTTCACAACTTTGAGAAATTTCTCCCGCTAAAATAAAATGGTTATTCTCTCTCTCTCTCTCTCCCTAAATATAATTAATCTTGTGATATTATCAAGGTTAAATGATCAGTCAATTTCTCGCCATTTTCGTGATGAAACCATAAAGTTTTCACGAATAAATAATTATCTTATCCTATGTATTGTAAATATTGTGTTCATTTTGAAGGATATAAGGAGAGAAATCGAGCTTTGACTAAACAAAAAAGTAGAAATCATGATTAAGTTTGATTTTCACCTAATTTATCTTAATATTTGTTTTGCTAATTTTCGGTTATCTTAGGCATGCAAACATGCGATGAATGATGGCAAATGTGTATCACAATGTCCTCCACCATTGATAGTTAGTCGAGAAGAGAGTAGAACTATTGCGAATCCAGAATTCAAATATAACTTTCATGACATTTGTGTTAAAAAATGTCCAGGTACGTTAAATCTATCAGTTTTGTGATGGTATTAAATGATTAGTTATCAACAATCAACTAAGCATTATTGTTTTTACTCTCATTTATCGATCGTGTCTACCAGTTATTTTACCACGCTAAAAAATGTAATCGAAAATAAGTTAAGATTTGTGGAATGTTGTTTAACCAAATGTCCTCTTACCTCCTATATTTCGTGTATGAATTACTTTTGATTCAAAATGATTGCTTACCTGATATTTTATTACCGTCCAAAAGAAGTATCAGGTTTTTTGTTATTTCAATAATAGGATTTCACATGATGAAATATCAAACACTGTCAGCTTGCATTCATGTCATGCAGAATATAATAATTTACTTTTGATTAATACTACGGTTGTTTTTTAAATCTTTAGTCAAGTAGTCTCTTTAAAGTTTTATTACATCTGTTTGCTCATCTACATTGTTGTCGATAAGTACACTGATTAACGATTCTTAGCTCAAATAACAGTATTATGCTCAGTATTTACAGTCACTCTTTTATGTACAGGTATAAATCAGTTGTCTTTCTGAATATGTACATCTTGTACACGAAGTATTCAACTTCTGATAACTATTATTTGTTTAACTGCAGGCAGTTGGACTAAATAAAAAAACAGACAATATTAAGGCATTTAAAACAATCAGTGTGATGGTTGCTTTTATATTGGGCACACCAGCTTACGAAGTTGGAGGTATATTCGATAATTTACTTGACACTTGGCCAGGATCAATGACTGAACTACTACACACTAGCACATGTATCGCCGACTAGGATTCCTCAACTATGCCTTGAGCTCTTTATTCCAACTGTTTCCAAGTTTTATTCACCATTTTGATGTCCCTCTAATTTTCAGCACAATATGTTCTTCAGTTTGCTTCTTTTCCTTTTGTCTTGGAGATCCCAATATAGGGCTTACCTCGTGATGCAGTTTGATGATTTTCGCAATGTGCCATATCCACCACAAATGTCTTTTCTTAATTTCCTCATCAGCTTAAAGCTGATAATTTTTACAGATGAGACGCAGTAAATCAAAGTAGTGTAATGAGTGACAAAGAGATCGGTATATTCTCAGTATGGAAGGATTCCATGAGCTTTTCGTGTTTAGATCTTAGAATGTATGTTGAAAACAGCAACCTTTATTGATTTTTATTCAATAATTGTTTTTCTTATCACCAGTCTAATTAGTCCTTTACAGTTGAAACAAACGGTATTGTGAAATCAGTGTTGACCTTTAATAGATAATTTCAATGAAGGGTTTGGTAGACGTAGATGTAACTTTAACATTGGTTTTTTAGTGTTTTTAAACTAGATAATAAAATTATTTCTGAAATTCGCTAGCCAACCAAGTGAATTTCTATATAAAAATATATTAAAATATGGACGGCTTGAGACTAAAATAATTTGTGTGTCTTTATGACAGGAGAATACTACTCAACATATAATTTAATATTACACACTTCGGCTTTACTAGACTTTATTTTCTTCCATGGTTTGGCTTTCTTCTACAACATACTTGAAATATATATTCAAAATGCCACTATTCATCACAAGAAACTATTTTTCCTGGTGATAACAAGTGGTAATATATAAAAGCTTAACAAAAATCCGCTTCTCTAAATTCTCAATCTAACTACTTGGTATATAAGTTGGGCGCCCAATGTGAGGCCCGAAGGTCTCGAGTTTGGTTCTGTCAACCTATTTGGTGAAGATTTGATGTTTACATGTATTTTGTTTGTAAGATTAACAGTGAAAAGGATTATGTTGGAAGTAACTTTGAAAATTAAAGAAATAATTAAAGTAGTTTCGCCTTTCAAAAGATTATTTTAAAGTAAATATTCTATGCTAAAAGTTTACGCCCCATGAGAAACTTCGATGCACAAAAATGTAATTACCGCCTTCAATATTGATATCTTATCACAGTATAAAGAGATGCATGGCGATAAAAGGTGAATGTCCACCATACTGAATGAAAATCTTACACTTGAAAATTCGAGAATCACATGTTTATTCAGTGGTCTACCGCGACTTCATTCAACTTTCCAAATCGTGCAGCGTATAAAAAGCATAGGCTATCTGGCAATAAGTGATGTTTACGTAATCATTTTCCTTGGAAGAATAATACGACCAATTTTAAACTTGATGAATGAGACAAAATGTTATTTTGTGAAATAAATAACTTCTCATATTCGAGGAAGATATAAACACCCGATTGTAGAAACAAGCGAAGTCTATTGTCTAACGAAGTAATTATTATTGAGACGCTGATCGATGTTATTATTGTTATGATTATCATTATTGTAGTTACGATAATCGGTTTCATGTAATGGTTTTGCGTTGATACATAACAACAATATTAACGTGAATAGTGGTGGTGGTGGTGGTGATAGTGGTGGCTTTTGTGTGATTGTAATTATGATTGTAGGAAGTTCATAGTTGTCATGTTGTTTGTTCTCTTCCGGTATGTTTAATTGGACCTTTGTGAATGTACAGTTTATTAAGACGAATATGTAATGAATGCAACGCATTTGTTAATGATTGATTAAAGAAATTGTAAGTCACGAAAGTAAGTGAATGTGTGTTGGGTTAGTGGACAATGTGTACTGTGTGATGGTTGGTGTAATCACATCATTTTTATTTTCATATTATGATAGAAGCTTGTCTATGTATTCGGATTTCGAGAATATATTTTATCTTCGTGCTTACTGTGTTGTAAATATAAGTTCACTTCCGTAAAGTTTAAAGGAACAACTACCATATGAGTTGTTTTACTGATCTTTATTTCTGCACAATGATACTACATACAGAGAGATCATAAAATAAAATATCCATCATATATTATACTTAGCTAAAAATAAAAATACATTTTCAACTTTACTTCAAACTTACAGTACTTATTAATATCTTAATTCACACTCAGTTTTGAAACTGTGCAGTCTTACACCTGAAGTCATTCGAGAATATTGTGAACCAGTGGCTTATAACCAAACATCATATTAAGGTGTTACATAGCCAAATAAGTGTTTGCATTTTTAATTCTAATTAGTGTGTACTGTTAATAACATAGAATCCAATTAGTACCCTGTGGAGCTGTAGACTAATGATTGAAACACTCATCTTTCAACCACTACATTAAACATTTGAAAGCCGGTCCACAGATCTCAAGGATGGAATTATCTGTAACTGTTTGTCATGGGTATGTCTGGAGTAGCACATATCCACATGCTGTTTGGCAAAGGGTAATATTTCAAAGGCTAAGGCTTGAAACGAAACGTTTAATAAGCATGACATTCTATTATGAATCCATCGCTTGCTTTTTGGACGGAAAATTGCTAGAATTTACTATATGAAGATGGTGAAGATTTGTAGCTCAGGTGGTTGATTTCGATGGAGTTTTGTTCGCTGAGCTGGTTGGTTTGGTCGTGGAGCTTCCATCGTTCTTCCGAACGACATGTTCAATGTACTTACAGGGTAACACAGCCTATTTCAGTATAGAGTTCATCATAGTTTTCTAGCTCGTACACAATTACTGTGGTTCATTTCAATTGTAAAAAGCCGCACTTTTTGTTTATAATAATTATAAATTACTGATTCATTTACTTATTCAACAAATATTCTCATGACTATGAAAATTACTCTTGATCTAACTTTTAATCTGAATATTTAATTTTATTAATTACATTTATACTACTTCTTGGTATTTCGTACATCTAATCGATTAGTTATTTTCTTAACCTCTTTTTATTAATGATCACTTCACGCGTAAATTATGTGGAATAGTGAACCAATAGGAGTTTTAACTTGTTTTATCCTATTGTTTCATTCATGTTCACATGATTTGCATGTGTGTTGTGCATGGAAATTGATCTGTGTGAATATATATATATATAATAGGTCTGCACAAAATGCCACACATCACTGATTTTATAAGAGATTATCTTCTTTGTGTGTAGATCACTGATAAACTTTACATTTGTATTAGGTAATTTAGTGCACAAATATATAGAAAGAAAGAAATGCAAGTCAAAAGCCTACAAATTATTTAGGTTACATTTTACAAAGGTGAATATTCGAGTAGGTCAAATCCTATTGATATATATATCAGCTAGTTGAATTACTTTATAAAATTAACGATGTAATGTAAAATCTATTCCTGTTAAATGTTTTATTCGAATGAGGTTAACTTTTCCCTTTTTTTAGAATATAAAGAATAAAAGAATTACCAATATTGTTTTTAATGTTAAATTGTTTGTTGAAAAATAAATGCAAACCTATTTCTTAAATACACCTTATTTCAATGATTTCTAAACAGCTGCTTACAACCTGAACAAATAAATATTTGTTATAATAACAAAATGACATAATTAATACACAATATCCGAAAACATACAGTTGATGTTTTACAAGTAAATCATGCAGAATAGAGTATTATATGATATACTGCTCATAAAATGCATTCAATTTTAAGATATCACTATAACAGACAGATAAGTTATTTTGGTTACATATGGAATGAACAGATCGATAAAAAAAGGGATTATCCAATCGTGTGAAAAAACTATCAGAATAAGATCGCTAGCCAACGCAGTAATTGCTAAAATAATACTATTAACAGAAGGTAGATTAAAGACTAAAGTAAAATGTAAATAAACCATTAAAGTGTAAAATAGTTAAGGAGTTTGCTCTTGATGCATTCTGTCACAACAGAGAAATGCCTGACTTGTTAAAATATATGTTAAGTTTCTGTCATTTGGCATTGCATCCATATTCTTTTAAGGTTTTGTTTGATGACTGTTATAAAGACTCTTAGCTTGTTTATCAGGTGATGTGTCGAATAAGTAACGCTCATACCAATCGAAAAGCCTAAACCCCCAAGATTTACACTTTTGGATCTATCCTAGGAATTACAGTTGATATATACATATGTATTACGATGAAGCATACAGTTGCTTGTTTCGATGTATAAACTTTAATACAGGCATAT